TGATCATATTATTGTCGGATTCTTAGGTTCAGTATCTTGCAAAAACCTTTATCCAATAGTAGGCGATTTATCCTCAGAAACGTATGCCGTTCTAATAAAGATGTTCAAAAGTCGTTATGCTTTAGGATATATACTAAATATAATTCAAATAAAACAAAAACAACCTCAGCATTTGAGTTATCCCTACCCTTCATTTTTCAAGACCGCTTCTCCTTTTCAGTCCCGGAAGCAGGCGCGTCAGACAGTACTTCCAACGTTCCCCATCCTATACCAGAGACTGAGCTTCGGCAGAAGACATCCGGAGTTAAAGCGAACTCATTTCATGCAATTGTCTCAGGATAATCTCTACCGTCCCCCTGGGTCTTCTACAGTTCGGCTAGGCAAGCAGAAGATGCTTAGTTTTCCTTTCTCTAGGTATTCGCAACACATGACCAAACCATCGCAGCTGTGACTTTTCTCAATCTGAAGAATCAGCGGCTGTATACAAAGGCTCTCGCGGATGTCTGCATTTCAGACGATGCCGAGAAGCGTAATGCCAGCGACTCACCTCTAAAAGTACATTTGAGCCATTTGTGCCCGGGATCGAAGATTTTCTGTCACGAAGAGACGTGAGCATGGGAATGAAGATCGACTTGAACACCGAGAGTTTAGTCTTCAGGCACAGATCTGCTTTAGTCAAAACGGTTCGATCTAATTAACGTATAACGCCACTGGCTGCTCCAATCCGCCTGTCGATCTTTTCTTCAGATTTTCCGTCACTAATAGACACTTCCTTAAACTTGAACTTCTCTGCCTGTTCCATTGCTTCTCCATTTATCTGAAGAAAGCAGCGAGCAGGAAAACGAAAAAGTACGGGACTTTCATGTACTTTCGCATGCATGCCATGCATGTCGCACTCGAATGCGAACCTTTCCAGAGAGCGGCGCTGTAGATTCGTTTCACAAGACGTTAACAAAGGAGGTCGTCTGCAAACAGCAACCTTCTCGTTTCTACATCTTCTACGCTGATACACTGACTGTATCTGACTACTCTTTTCATACACAGCAAGTTCAGGAAATGAGACAGAACGCAGCTTTGCAGCAGACCATTTGTCGTAGTCATTGTTGTCTGAAGTATGATGAAGTAGTCATCGAATATCCAGATTAACGATGTCTGACGCTGCGGCTACTCAAAAAGTTTAGACGATTTTAGTTGCCTCGGAAAAAGTCATGCTTTTCGTCGAAGCTAGTCCCCCTCTAGCGCT